GGCTGCCAGGGTTCAGCAACAGGAGGTCAGAAACGGTTTCTGAAGGCAGGAGGGACTAGCCAAAAGCAGTGGTCAAAAACAGGCAGGATCAGAAAACCAGGAACTCCGTGGACATGAATCGGGCTTGAAGGCTGTGACAGGATAAGCAGGCGGCCTGCCACTGCGCCGGAGACGGTCAGCGGTTTACACAGAGCTGCACAGAGCAGGATGAAGCGCAATCAGAGGGACGGAGAGTGAGCAGCACCGTGAGCGCAGAGCTGAAATCATGGCAGTCAGGAGACAAAATGGACCAAAAACGTCTGCTCCTGTTCTGACCAGCATTCTGATGCAGCTCTGCCATGTGACTGATTCCTGCAGGATGATGTAGCCGAGTCGGCTGATTGGAGGTGAAAACATTGATTTTTCTTGGTGATTTATGAAAGTTATTCAAGGATGAGGTCAGTTAGTGTCAAGTGGAGCCTCATGATTGGTCCAGAGTTTGGTCAATTGAACGAGTTCAAAATGAAAAACAAATGATTTATTCTTTCATAACAACATATTCTAGTCAAAGTGAAGCAGGTTGGACTGTTTTGCTCAAGTCCAAAAAGCTAAAAGTAATTTTCACTTTAAAAAATTCAACATGACTTTCAATAAAATACGTAAAAAGTTCTAGTTATAAAAAATACATTTTAATCTTTTGCCGACATGAATAGAGATTTTATTAAATACTGATACTTTCCAGTTTTTATTCTCATTTAGCTTTATGTGAAAAATGATGAGTAAAAGTACAGATATTTATCTTAAAAGTAGGAAGTAAGATAAATATTCAACTAAAATCCACCGTGGTACTTTTATCTTTTCTTTACGGCTCTGCAGAAATGCAGCTGTTTCCTACTTTCCATCTTTTCTCCCTGCAAAAACTTCAGATTTATTTCTGTGGAAATGAATCAGATTGTTTCCGATGTTCCCGACTGTTGCATGTTTGAAGGAAGTTTCTGCAAAATGAGCTGGAAACTTGGATATAAATTTACCAAACTGCCTCCAGTCTGATTAATAAATGTCTGTTTCAGTCTGATGGTCATTTTTTCATTTATTCTTCTCAATATGAAAAAAAAACAAGTGATTAAAATAAACACTTTCTGACTTCTTCATGATTTGATTTTTGGTTGTGATTTAAAAAAGGAAAGTTCGAATCCAGATCTCTGATGTTGGTTTGAAGTTTCAAAGTGATGTCAGGAGATTTGCTGCTTTAAACCAGCAAAACAAAAATATGAACATTTAAATGAGCAGAAGGTCAAATTATTTATTATGCTGTTAATGCGAACATAAATCTCTTATTAATATGTTCTAAATGATTTTGTGTTTGTAGTTTCACAGGTTTTATCTATAAAGATGCAGTTCTGCTGCGTTGGAACGGCGCCCCCTGCTGGAGGCACAGAAACCGAACAGGTTCTCATTTAAAGGGGATTTTTACTAACAATTAAACGACGTCGGATGAATTATTCCTCAAATGATTCAACTCGGTTCTGCACAACAAATTAAAATATTATCTAAAGAAATTCATGTTTTCAGTAAATTAATGAAAAAATGCAAATCCTGAAATAATTTATTCAGATCCAACTGTTTTATTCATTCGGTCAGAAATCTGTTTGTATGGAAATTATTGGCTCTAATTTAGCAGCAGAATCAGGAAGCGAAGAGTCTAACGTATCTAGAGCTTCACAAATGTTTTGTTCTAGTAGAAATCTGCGTTTAGAGGTAAAAACACCGTGGAGACGCATTTTAATAAAGGTTTTCTGATGAGCTAAACTAAATGATGCTAACAGCTAAACGACACAGAAACGACACCTTTCCACAGTTTATTTCCTTTTAAAATAATTCATACAAATGCATACAGTCACAAACATATCTTTTTCAGTTGTCATTGTTTGACCAAAAATAATGATATTTACTGTAGAATATAGAATAATATGTACTGAATATTGCTACGCCTACTACGTCACCATGAAGGGCGGCAGCAGGGGGCGCTACGCCAGGGATGGCATTTCAGGGGAACCGCCGGATCCGTCGGTTTGGACCAGGAATGTTTGCAGTTTGTGTCGGAAGAACCAGAACCGAGTCAGAATATCAGCCCAGAACCTTCAGTCTGCGGCGGACGACCAGGTTTTTATCCCTTCATTCCGAATTATGAGGATAAAGTCAGAATGTTATCAGAAAAAGACACAAAAATTCCAGGAGAAAGATGGAAAGTTTTTAGACAGAAAGGAAAAACTTTGATCATTATTAAACTCAGTTCAGCCACTGATAATTTACTGTTGATGTGTTAAAACTGATCATAAAGTAAAACGTCACAAGATTCTCAGCTTTCCTCGTGTTACGTTTTTCATCCTTTCTGAGGTAAAATAGCTTCTATATTCTGTTAATATTATGACTATTTCATGACTTGATTTTATTATGACTGACATGCAATGTTATTCTCGTATTATTTCTGCTTTCACACGGTTTTATTCGTACATTATTTTGACTTTATTCTCGTAATCTAACATTTTTCGCCGCTGCAGCCTGAATCGCTTGGCGGTGGAAATGTCCATCCCTGATTGCGACGCTCGCTGCCTCACCATGAAGAAGACCCGGTAGGCAACAGGAAACTGTTTTTACTACTCAGCTGCAGGTAGGGGGAGCAGAAAGGACTTCTGGGTAATTTGCTGCCCCCCCTACTGGCGCTGCTTTTAGACACAGAAACAACCAAGTCACATTGACACAGGCAAGCAGAACACAGTATGTACACATGAAGAGAGCAGGTGGTTAAATGGTAGCAACGGGAAGGGCCCGGCTGGATGTTAAAGGGACTCCAGGAAATCTCCGGCCGCTCGGGGGAAACGCCGCCGCTTCTCAAGCGGGAGGCGTTTAAACAACCTTCAGAGATCATCTGAGTCTCATCTTTACCCAAGTTTAACCGCTTTTACTGTCGTAACCGTGGAGGAATCAACTTAAAGTGCATAACAGAGTCATAGTTTAGAGCCAGGAAACCCAAAAATACAAAATAAAAGACGTGAAATAAATCACAACTGGCCTTTTCTGTTCTCAAAAAGTACAAAAGTAATTTAGAAACAACGCCTACCTCTTTGTGTAAAACAGGAAGCACTTCCATATATGGAAGATGCTTTTCACTGTTGTAGACAGAAAACCAAACTATTTAAGGCAAATATGCTAAGCTAGGTGTGGGGTGAAGATGTAAACAAGCCAAGAAGGCAGATTTTATTCCTCAGAAAAAGTTTCATTGTTTGAAACATTTTCTGCTTCAGGATCCAAGAGAAAAAACCAACTGAAAGCAAAAGAGAAAACGAAACGCTGTTCATGACGCAGCTTGGACAGAAAGCTGGAAAAGAAGTTGTTTGTGAGCATAAAGTCAATCAAATAGCAAAAAGCTTTCTTTCATAGCACGTTTCACATCTACTAATGTTAAGTATCAACTGTCGGCTGCAGCTTTGACTTGTTTTTCTCTTTGTGTCTGAGCCAAATGAAAAATGTTCGCCTTCATCTGAGTGTTTTACCTTTATTAACTCGTAAAGCCAAGCTAAGTGTTGTATGGAAACTGATTCAGTTTGATTTGTCATGGAGTTCAACCATCAGGGGTAAAACATGGATCATTATGTGGACAGAAATGAGACTTGCCAGATCGCTACGTTCTCAGCAGGTCTCAATGCGCAAATCCAACGTTTTTAGCATGATCGTTCATTCTACTTATTAAAAGTGACCGAAGTTAGACTCCTTTTGCTCACGATAATCCAAATGTGCCGAAGACATGTCGCCCAGCGCGCTCTGATTATGGCTCTTTTTACAGTAGTAAAGATGGCCGCCATGGCGCTCTGTTGACAGCAGTAAAGATGGCCGCCGTGGCGCTCTGTTTACAGCAGTAAAGATGGCCGCCGTGGCGCTCTGTTGACAGCAGTAAAGATGGCCGCTGTGGCGCTCTGGTTACAGCAGTAAAGATGGCCGCTGTGGCGCTCTGGTTACAGCAGTAAAGATGGCCGCTGTGGCGCTCTGGTTACAGCAGTAAAGATGGCCGCTGTGGCGCTCTGGCGGTAAAGATTTAGATCCACATGTGTAAGTAAAACAAATTGTATTTTTGGGGTCAAAGAATCTGAATTGGGTCACATCTGCCTGCTGTTTGAACGTAGCCTAGCTTAGTGTTGATAATTCTGGTTGACAAAAATGTAATTCCTGCATCAAAGTTATAATGCTGGTCAGGAGCAGAAATTGCAGCCATAATAGGTGAATTTTTTAAAACAAACCATGTTTTTAATCTGTCGCCTCGTCGGAATGAAAGCGTCAGAATCAGCAGGTCCCAGCATGTTTACCATTTCACCACCTCTCCTAAACGTTCCTCCCATCACGCCTTCGGTTCGAACATTTACACAATCCCAGAGCAAAGTCACATGCTCCTTAAACAAACAACAGAAACAAGCATTAGGTCAACTTTACATCTCACTAAAGTTGTTCTTTTCTAATGCAGCGGGACATGGAAAGGCAAGCAGGTAGAAAAACAAAAGCACTGAGTGGCATAAAAACTATCTATAAAAGAAAAATGTTAGAAAAACTAGATTACCAACTGCGGAAACGTAGGTTCCTGAGATGGTGTGCAAAAGCTGCCGCTTTTTTGGGGCCTTGCTAATTTAGGGACAAATAAAAAGAAAACGAGATATTGTATTTTTAAACCAGTTTTCGTTAAGACTGGAATACAAATATCATCATGTTCTAAAATCTGTTCACAGGCAGGTTACATTCATTTCAAACCCAATAACTTTCCTGTCACATCAAACGAAGGAAAAAAGGACACAGAACACATGAAAGCCTCCAATTTTCTGGAAAGGTTCTGGATTCTGTTTTGCCCAAATGTTTCCATTTTTCATGTTGAGGCAACGATCAGATGTTGGTTTAGAGGAACTTTCTGGGTTGTTGAGTCAGTCCTGTCTTGGGAAGCAGACGGCACCTGAACCGGCGGTCGGTGTGCAGAAGGGCTACAGCTGGTCGCTGGGGTGCTGCTCTCTGTCGCCCTCTGGTGGCTTTACTGTGTTTCTGTCCGGGAGACGGCGCGTGAGGCGGGTGACGGCAGCGGGCGGGAGGGTGTGCGTGATGGGCACGGCGCTCGGGACGATGCCTTCGACGGGCGGAGGGAGGCCGCCAGCCGGCAAGCTCACCACCCCGGAGGGGTACCTGGGGGACAGGAGGGGCAAACTGTTGACAGATCAGTGGATTTCACAGAGCAGCACAGAGCTGTGACTACTGTAACTCAGCTAACGGCAGCTGTCCTGTTGGAGAACCTGAGATAAATCAGAAAACCTGAGACTGGAGGTCCACCTTCCAGCAGGTCAGCCACCTTAAACATGCAGCCAGAGATATTATGGGATGGCTGCCAAGGGCAAAAGTCCAACATGTGAGTCTGTTCTGCCTGTGAAGCATCAAGTCAAGGTTTTAGTAACTCATGCCACATTTTCTGCGTTTCATTTTAAAACAGTGAATTTGTTTCCTTTCATTTCACATATATGTACTAAGAGTGGATTCACACCATCCCTGTTCAGTCCACTTTAACCCAACTCTGGTCCGATTGCCTGGAAACTCCGGTCCAGTTGGTGAGGTGTGATGCTAATTGACCTCTGACATCTGGTCCTCCAAACCTCGTTCAGTTGAAGTGAACTGATTCGGTTTAAATGTGAATGGTAAGCAGACCAGAGAGCGCTCCAAAAGCAGGAAGTGGACTACAGCGCAGGGCATTCTGGGTAAATACAACCAAAGCTAACATGTTAGCCTAGCGCTAGCAGCAGAAATGGCTCCTGGTCTTCAGCCAAAGACTAAAGAGAAATCCTCCAGCACTAAACTCTGACGCCTCCATCTTGTTTCATCTGGTGAAGCAGGAAGTTGCTCTCAGTGTCTTCAGAGGTTTTAGTGTCGTTTCCTGCAGTGGTTGTTGGCGCAGTGCCTCCACAGGCCAGGAGGGGAACAGGTTTCCCAATTTGGATCATTTGACTGCAGTGAGAAAGAGAACCGCAGCAGCTGGAGGTGGAACAAATGTTGCGAATTTGGCCTCTCATCAAACCGAGTCTGGTGGACTATCAGGTGTAGAAACACTTTAAACTGACCCGTCACATAAAATTCAGTAAAATACTGCAAAGTGTGTAAATACGTTAAAGCACTGCTGGCCCAACCTGGCAGCTACATGTATTGCTAAGCTAGATGTTGGATCATCTCCAATTCTTGCTGATAACTCAGGCTGACAGTCACAGCGCCCGGCCGTACCTGTAGGCGCCGTTGAGCTCAGGATGGACCACAGCCGGGTCGACGGCCCAGTGGTTGTTGGGTGAGAGGAACTCCTTATTCACACAGTTCTTCAGACTGTCTGGGATCCGACCTGAAAATGAACAAATAAGGATCAACAAAACAAATCTGATAGGAGAATTCCCAAAATGTCTCCTTTGGTTACTGACGGTTCACCAACCTGTCACAGCCCTCCGGATTTCCCTCGCCGCCTCTTCTCTCATCTCCAGTGATGCCTGTTCGCTGTACCAGGCGGCGTGCGGCGTGCAGATCAGGTTGGGCGCGTCCTTCAGTGGACCCTGACTGAAGCTGCCACAGCAACAAACGCTACGCTTCAGATCAGCTGGAGGAAATTACTCTGTCCAATTACTTTATTATTTAACTCAAATGTAGAAAACAAACCGAGATTCACACAGAAAGAAAACCGTCATCAGCATAAGGTGTGATACTGAACTGGGACTTTTGGTGATACTTTTAAGCAACAATTAAATTCACTAATTTATTGTGGTTTTCTCTAATCCACAGGGTCAAACTTTGCATACACTTGGCCTTACTAACATTTGGATAAATGTCCCTGAAGTTTCAGAGAAACCAACAAGGTTCCTCCATCTTTCTGGTCACAAATGTTTCAGTTTACTTAATCAGATGGGTTCTTGGTTCTGGTCCGGTGGCTCAGCGTGGCCTTGGTTATCCAGATTAGAGGTTTGTTTTGGATCATGGTTCTGTTCGAACCCACAAACCTCTGGCCCAAACCGTCACACCGCCTCTTTAACATGGATTGAGATGATATCAATCAAGAAGCCGGACTGCAGTTTGCTGTTGGATGGATGGAAAACCAAAACGTCTTCTGGAGAATGGTTCGATGGTCAACGAAGCCAGTTCTCCTACAACTTGATGAAGCATTTGGTCAGTAGGTGTAATACCTGAAAGGTTCCGTCTCATGGACATCCAGAGCCGCCCCCACGTATCCTGCCCTCCTTCAGAGCCTGAGCCAGAGCCTTCTCATCCACCAGGCCCCCCCTGGCTGTGTTCACCAGGAACGCCCCCTGCCGCATCTTTAACACACACACACACACACACACACACACACACACACACACACACACACACACACACACACACACACACACACACACACGCCAATCAGCTGACGCTTGATATGACTTTACGAGCTTCCTCGATGGCTTTGCCAGCCTGTGGGCTCAGCGTACCTGTTTGATGGTGAAGTCGTTGATCAGGTGGTGGTTGTGCTCGTTGAGGCTGCAGTGCAGCGAGACACAGTCAGAGTGGAAGAGAAGGTCCTGAGGAGGAAGATGATAAATCCCAGTCAGAATGTCGTCTAGTTCTGCTTTCATCACTCATTAATAGATGGAAATGTTTCCGCTGCAGGACCTGCTGCCTGCAGGACCTGCTGCCTGCAGGACCTTCAGGTGTTTCTAAAACTTTTTGACCAGAAGTGTGAATGAGGTTTAATTTCAGTTTTCAGAGTGAAATCCTCCATGTAATTGATCTGAAGGCATAGAAAGGTACATGAAGGCCAGCAGGGTTTACCTGTAGGGTGGTGACCCGTTGGAGCCCCAGGGACCTTTCTACACCGTCGGCCAAATACGGGTCGTAGAAATCACGTTGAAGCCGAAGGCCTTGGCTCGCAGGGCGACGGCCTGGCCGACCCGGCCTACAAACACATCGAGTTTGTTATGTCTAGATTGTAAGTTGTCCTGAACAGGATTGTCTTGCTGAGCAACAAGCTTTTCAGCATGTAGGTAATAAGTTTGATTTTGCTCTCCTCCGATTCTTACATTAATCTGACTTCTCATGACAGATTAGTTGTCCTGTATGAAATGAAAGGATCTGGACCAGTTTGTGACAGCAGTTTGGATTCTCACCGAGCCCAATGAGTCCCAGCGTCTCTCCTCTGATCCTGGCCGCGCCTGACGCCACCTCTCGGATCTGCTCCACGCTCTGAACCCGCGTCCCTTCCCGGAGAGCCTGGCGGGAGTGAAGACGAGCGTCACTTCAGACGGAGCGGACAGCGCAGACACACGGTGATCCAGCTGCAATTCACTCTGCACCACAAGCTAATTCCTGTCAGGCTACAACACATGAGTCTAAGCAATGATTTGAGGAACAAATCATTTTACTGTACCTTCTACACTTTACATCAACGTCTTTCAAATACAGCCACATTCTAAAGAAAATGAAATGTTTCAATTTTGCTTATATGTCAGTTGGCAGAGATTATTTGTTAGTGTAAATAATGATGGTGGTGAGCGGATGCACACCTCCAACAAACCCAGTGAGAGTTGGTTCCCTGCTGCTGTCTGGGCTGCAGAGCTACAAACCTGGTGCAGCCAGGTGGTGCGTCGGTACAGGGTGAGGATGTGGCACAGCGTGGAGTCTGCCGTCTCCTCCACCGACGCTGCTGGCATGTTGCACACAGCGATGCCTGTCGGAGCAGAAAGAGGGGGAGGTCTGAGGGAGATCCAGCTGAGCTGCTGGGAGGAAGAACCAGACTTCTCTGGTGAGTCCAGTCCTTTCTGCAGGTTTGTTTGTTACTCTGTTTCCTCTCTGGTTATTTTAGTTCAGGCCTTCTTAGTGATTGTAGTTTAATTCCAGCTATGTTGTTTGGGTCAAGTTTTTCCTCAGTATTAGATCTGTTTCCTGCCCCCAGTCTCTTACTTCTTACTGTCACGCTGGGACAGATTACACTTTAATTGACATTGATTGAAAATGATATTTTTGTGCATTTTAATCGTTTAATTTGGATTAATCACAGAGGCAGTATTTTTTATTTTTTTTTATATACAAAAGTCCCAAGTTGGAACCTTTTGTATTGGTGTGTTTCTGTCACACCCATAAATCTGACGCACTCGCTGCATCCACTAACAGCAGCCATGGAGGACGAAGTCGCTTCTCTCGACTTCCTGGGTTCTAATTTCTGCTTCTAAACAATCTGATTGGATGCTGGAAAAAACTGTTCAAGTTGTGCTAAAAGGTAGTAAGCTCAGCGAAGCTAATCTTGCCTGAAATAGCATCTCAGTGCTGACATGTAGCAGCTAATGCTAATGTCATTTCTGAAGAAGCTCCTGAACTTTGCGCCATCAGGAAGAACAGATTGAAAGCTGTAAGTATCTTTGTTGTTGAGGTCATTTTGGTTTTTTATTCAGTAATTTAGCACCAAAAAGAGGTTTTTGATTTGAACATGTTGCTTATTTTGGTGATTAAAATGTGATTGGACCAGGATTGATTTATTTAAAAACTTTTATTATTTGCAACTTTGAAGGTTTGCATCCTGTTGGTCTCTACAACGAGTTCCTGTGGACCAGCGGTTCAGCAGTTGCTGATGTATTTGTGTGCCTGTTTGCGGGGGTGTGAGGTTTGTACCGAGCTCCCCGGCGGATTTGATGTCTATGTTGTCGTAGCCGCTGCCGATGCGAACGATGATGCGCAACGCCTTGAACTTCTCCAGGTCTTCCCTCATCAGGGTGATGGTGTGGTACATCAACGCCCCCACAGCTTCGTTTAGCACCTGCACACACAGAACGAGCATCCATCCTGAAAAAGCAACCGAAATCAGAGAAAACAGCAGCAGGTGCAGCCAAATCAACAGATTATTTGCTGCATTCAAAGCAGATTTATTCTTCTAATGCTGAACATATTAAGATGTTGAGTTGGTCAGATGGTCTGTGAATGTTTCGTGTTTCTCAGCCTGAAACAGTTTGAGCCTGATGTGGAGGAATCGATCTGGACCATCTGAAGACGCCATGGACGGTTTTCCCGCAGGAAGAAGACGTTACCTTCTCGTGGATCTCCTGTGTGGACTGAGCGTCGCAGAACGCCACGGTTGCGACGTCCTTCAGGATGGGCATCTCCACGGTGCAGTCTCTGCCGTCCAGCAGCGCCACAAGGGGGCGCGGGTGCATCGGCCCGTTCATGATTGGAGGTCTGATGCCTGAAAACAAAACGAAAGAAGAAGTCTGATCACGCAGATCAGACTTCTTATCTGCAATCACGCAAACATTTCTGCATCCTGGCGCACAAAGGATCCAATCGATCAAGAAGTTTTTAGATTAATTTAGAAAATCTCAGAAGTATCAGATTTTCAAAAGTCAACATTTTCCAACTTTTGAAACTTTTATGGAAATTTTTTGAAACTAATCTAAAAATGTCTGTTTATTCTGGCAAATTTCAGATTTTTTAATAGTAAAACTTTGACTTTTCAAAATGCCAAACAACATGGTTTTATGAGATTTAATTCCTTCAGAAGCAAATCCATTCAGTCGCTGTGAAATCCACCGCAGGAGCTGAAGCACACATAACTAATCATTTCACTGTTTCCATTAATGTCTTACTGTACGTCGATGCCAAAGAAACATAATAATAGTTAAAATAGTTAAATTCTTTTTACAGTGCAAACCTTTTGACTGCAGGGGCTTCCAGGGTGAAGCAATGTTTCAACATGATAAGGTTTCTCTTATCACTGAAACCTTTCAATATAAGATCAATAATTCCTCAATACTGGTTTTTAAAGAAGTACTGGTTACGCTAACAGATTATTTCACTTATAATCAGGGAAATAATCTGGAACTGGTGCTTTTTAAAATACATTTTATGGAATTTTTATTTAAAACAAGTTTCTTATAAGTCAGTTTTCATCTTAATTCAGGTGTGATAAAATATTTGCATTAAAACTTAACAGAAATACTCGGTAAGATTTTGTATTTGAACCGAAAGCAGAAAGTTGAAAGTTTTTAGGGGAAATATATTCATAAAAAGTTATTTTTCCTGCTCAGCAATTAATTAAAGATGAATTGTTTAAAACAGAAAACACCAGGAGACACCAGGAAGTGTGTCTCGGTCAGATTTGTTCTGAAGTATTGATCTCCAGCTGATCAGAAATCAGAACCTATTGGGTCAGTAATCAGGTAGGAGTGAGACCTCCTGTCACTTTTACGTCTGAGGTTTCACTGATCCAGGTTTTCCTGAAGGTCCTGCTGGAGTTTCTCCAGGAACATTTCCCTCCAGATGCAATCTGCTGAGTCAGCAGAGCAATCTGCTGAGTCAGCAGAGCAATCTGCTGACTCAGCAGATCCAGATGGATCCAAACGGAGCCGCTTGGTGTCAGAACCGGCCCAGAAAGTTTCATGAGCGTCTGAGCCAGAGTGCATCATGGGATTCTGACGTCGCATCAAGAGACACAGCGACGGTAAGACAGCATCGCAGAAGGCTCTAATAATAAAGAGTAAATTTTCACCAAAATACAAGAATTTCTGAGTTTCAAATGTCGAGCAATTTGCTAAAAAATCTATAATTTTGAGGTTATTGGAAATTTTCAGGAAAGTTTGAAATTTTGAAAATTTGCTAAAAAGAAATTTCTGAGATTAATCTCAGAAAGTTTATTAAAAACATTAAAATTTCTGTCTTTATTTCTAGAAAATTTAATTTTTTTAAAATATCTGCAATGACTCAAACACGCCATGGAATCAGAGTAATGGAAAGTATTTTTTGTCTAGTTCCTGTTTGAAGTGTCTCAGTCGATGTGAAATCAGATGAAACTAATTTACCAACAACGATTCAGCGAGATGTTTGGGTCAATAATTCATTTATTTTAATAAAAGTTGTTCAAATGAAATCACATCGTCCATAAAGGCGGGTTTTCAACACGCTCTCTCATCTTCAGTTAGAAGTTATTTTTAACGCCGCTGATCGGACTTCCTTCTGCATTTCTCGGCTCCGTTTGCAGCAGAACCGGATTTAAATCACAGAACCGGGTTTTGGTCCCGATCTGTTGGCAAACGCATTTCCCTGCTCTGAGTTGCAGAACTGAGTCTGGTTTAAGCTGCAGATTTCTGCAGGACCAGAACCAGGTTGGGAACGACCAGAACCATGTTGGGAACGACCAGAACCAGCAGGAGGCCCAGTTTGAGCTCTGCGGTTTGCTGGAAACTCTGGATCTGGATTCCAGGCATTTCTGAGGGAGGAAATAACTGTCATTCCAGCGCCGGGGGATGACCTTGGAGGACCGGCTCCACTTCACACGCCTCTGCAGCCCTCCATTTCTAGAGCCATGTGTCAAACCCGAGGCCCGGGGGCCACACCCAGTCCGCCTTAAGTTCTTATGTGGTCCTCTAGACCAGGGGTGCTCAAGTCCAGTCCTCGAGAGCTACCATCCTGCAACTATCAGATGCATCCCTGCTCCAACACACCTGAATCAAATGAATGACTCGTTACCAGGCCTGTTCATAGCTGAGTCTGGTCTACTGGAGTAAAGCTGCAACTAAAAGTTGCAGGACGGTAGCTCTCGAGGACTGGACTTGAGCTCCCCTGCACTAGACTTTAAACAGACTCATAGAGAAATAAAGCTAGTCGCTGCATAAATTTTAGACAAGCTCACAATGCTGGAGCTGAAGAAGACGATTCTTTTTCTAACCATCTGGAGCCACGTTGATGCAACCATTAATTAAATGAATCCAGGAGATGAAGGTATTATTAATCTAATAGCTGCATCTTTAAGAATAAAACCACAATAATACCACCAAAGAGTAACTGAAAACTACTCATGTTATCCTGTTTTCTCACTCTTTCTTTTGGCTATGCTACACCAGGCCTGACAACAGCTCCCCTAACATATCAGGATTCAACAACAAACACACACATTTCCCACACAAAGAACAGAAACTCAGTTCGCTACAGTTTAATGTTTTCAGGCTTGATGTTTATTTTGCATTTATTGATAAGTGATCGCTGTGATAGATTAGCTGCTGCTGCTGTTAGCTCAGCTGACACAGCGGTGTTTGAGTAGCTAATTTGAAAACCCGCTCTACTGATGATCCGTCAGAGTTGGCGTGTGGGTTGCTGTTTTTTTAACTGAACTGAAACACACCAAATTCTGAAGCACATCTACATGTTAAGGTTGTAATAGTCAAGCTAGCATCGCTGACATAGAGCCTTCGCCATTTTACATTATAACTTTTTGATGTATTGTTGATAACTTTTAGCAAAGCACTGCGTCCCTTTTTATTTTTTAATATAATTTAAGATCAATGCGTTATATTGACAGCTGAATAGCTAAAACCAATGGTAGTTATTGAACTACCATTTCTGACTAAACAATCATCCAACAGGCCAGCATCGCTATATGGGAACCACGGTTCCCAGGTTTCTAAGGGTAGCATGCAGACAATCTATGGAAAAGCCTGGAAAACTCTGGAAAAGCCTGGAAAACTGGAATTTGGTGAAAGTTTTTTGAGTTGGAAAAAACTAAACATTACAGAAAATATAAATTTACACATTTGTTCTAATTAACTCGCCAATCAACCATGCAATTGATCAACCAACCAGTCAATCGATCAACCAATCATCCAATCGATCAACCAACCAACCAGTCAATGATCAACCAACATCCAATCGATGACAACCAACCAACCATCCATTGATCAACCAACCATCAATGATCAACCAACATCCAATCGATCAACCAACCAACCAGTAATCGATCAACCAACCATCCAATCGATGAACCAACCAACCAACCATCAATGATCAACCAGTCAATCGATCAACCAACCATCCAATCGATCAACCAACCAACCAGTCAATCGACAACCATCCCAACCAACCAGTCAATCGATCAACCAACCATCCAATCGATCAACCAACCAACCAGTAATCGATCAACCATCCAACCAATCATCATTCAACCAATTACTCCGTTTGTCAATCATGAGTCCCATTAGAACCAGATCAGAACTTCTCCAGTCAGATGTGACTCTGATCTCTGATAAAAGCCTTCTCATTCTTTTCAAACTAAAAGCCTTCTTCCTCTTCATCTTTCTCCTCCTCTTCCTCCCTAGCAGCCCTACCTTGATCCAAGGATTTCTAGAATCGTCTTTTCCAGCCACCATCACAAGGTGCATCCATCACTCGTGTGTAAACACGTCCGCACACCAGCGCCGCTCACATGCACACACTTGTGCATGTGTGTGTTTGTGCGTATATGTGTGAGTACGCTTCATGAAAGACGCACAACGAGAGGGAAATATGTGTCATGTCCTTGCTCGCCTCGAAGAGAGAGAGGGAGAGAGAGAAATCTATTTCTGTCGAGGTGTTCGAGCCGAGATTTTCCACACACGCTGCTTCAGAGAAAAGGCCAACGGTTCCCCTTGGGCAATAACAGATAATAGTGTGAGGAAGACTTGTGAGGAGGAGGAGACAGAAGAAGAGAGGAAGAGAGTGAAGGGGGAGGGGAGCTTGAAGGTAGAATAATGTTCACACACACACATACGGAGCCGGATAAAAGCGGCGTGTTTACCTAGAGGCATGCCTTTGTTGAGGAGATGTGAGCTTCCCATGGCGTGTTCCCGGCCGGCCAGCGCTCTGCACACAGGAACAGGAATCCAGTCAGCATATGGCGGCCTCCCTCCGTCCTCCCAGATCCTCAGTGACAAGCATACACATGTGCTCCCCCTTTTTCTGTCCCCCCCTCCCTTCTCTCTCACCCCTCCCCCTTACCTCCCGCCCCTTCCTTCCTCCTACAGAGAATCGTCCTCCGTCTCACATGCAGAAGAAGAAGAAGAGGGGAAACGTGAAGAGTTTAGGAAGTGCTGCATTCATGGGAACGGGAAGGCGGGAGAGTGAAGGAGACGGTGGGGGAAGTCACAGTGTGTGTGTGTGTGTGTGTGTGTGTGTGTGTGTGTGTGTGTGTGTGTGTGTGTGTGTGTGTGGGGTGTGTGTGTGTGTGTGTGTGGAGGGGAGGAGCCGACGTTGGCCAAAATTCATCTTTTGTTTCCTGAAAACCAACAAGGAGGGGAAAAAAAGTCGAGTTATGCAAGACGAAGGCGATGAAGAGGAAAGACCGGTTCTACTGTTATAAACAACAACTGTAACTGTGAAGATCCAGGCAGAAAGTAATATTTAATACAGAATATTCACTGCACTGCAAAAACACAAAATCATAACCAAATGCTATAGCCTGATTTCCACTTCAAATAGTTCAGTTTTCAGGTGTGCTAACTTACAAGAAACTTTCCAGGAAGATGAAGAAGCTTGTTTTTAGTAAATATTTCCTGTGATTGATTTACAAAACTAGTTCCACTGTCAGATTATTTTACTCCTAACACTGGAAAAATCTGTGAAAAAATCAGCCAGTTAGATTCATTTATCACTAATTTGCTCAACAAGATGCTGAACACATAAAAATTTGCAGAAGCTAACATTAAACTGCTAGACACGTAAAATAATTAGCATGAGCTAATGTATTAGTATAAAATAATTAACACATATAATGTGTTTAGTGTTATGTGTTAATTAGTGGTAGCTGACAATAAACAAAATAGCAGAAACTCATTTCAAACTGCTAAACATTAAAAATGAACAATGGTAACAAAAATTAGCTGAAGCTAACTGCTAAACATGAAAAATAGAAGAAGCTAACTGCTAAACACATGAAAAATAGAAGAAGCTAACGCTAAACACATGAAAAATAGAAGAAGCTAACTGCTAAACACATGAAATTATTAGTTTACGCTAAACTGATCAACATAAAAAACTAGCAGAAGCTAATGCTAAACACAAAAATAAACACTAATATGCTAAACACATATGTAGCATACTTGCATATTGAATTTTGAGCAGTTACTAAAATCAGTCAGTTAACGATGCCATGCAGCTCGTTAAGTTTTCACATTTCCAACATGCTGCTTAGTTCTTCCTGTGTCTGTTTTTAGCAGAGCTGAATAAGTTTAGCTGCAGACGGTTTCTTCCCTGTGCTAAACACACACACACACACACTCTGACACAGAGCGGTAGAGATGGGCTTCTTTGCCTACAAGACAGAATCTGTCAGCATCTCTTGCATCACGACTCTGACCTACAGTCTGACCCAGCCAGAGAGTTTCTTCACATGGCTAGCTCAAAAACAACAACTTATCAACTGTGATAAATATCTACTGCAGGAAATCTGTTGTCATTTTTGACGAGAAACTATTTTAGTTTTATTTTTAGGTTTTAAAATCGTAGCATGTAATTCTGCTTTCTCCCAGTCCTATCTAGAAACAGCCAATCAGAGCCAGGAGGTGGGTCTTAGCGCTGTCCACAGCCTCTTATGGCTGCAACTAGCATAGCATGTCATGAATGCTAAGACTAGTTAGCATAGCCACTGATGATGGCAGATAAACAGTTTTTCTGTAACTGAGTCATTTATTCACCATTAGCACATGTAGAGGCGTGTACATTAGGATGATTGACAGCACTAAGCCCTAATCCTCCTGGCTCTGGTTGGCTGTTTTTGGTTGGGCATTCCTTCAGACAGCAATAGCAGCTCTGTGAAGAGGTGGAGGAGATCAATAACGACATGGTGGCCATTTGAACAAATTTATAAAGAATATTCCTTACATAAGTTACAGACTGCAGCTTCAAAATAAGACAATAGATACATTTTCATACAGGGCATGTTGATATTTGCACATAATTTCTATCCTAATAAGAAAATACATGTAAGCTGAAAAAATTGCTAAAACCTGCATTATTTATGTGTTTATTACTAAATCTTCATAAATTTCTTTGTAATGTTTTAGGTTTTTAGTTGAAGTTCTCCTCCCTCCCAGTCTGATTCTCTCTCCTCTTCTTCCTCCATCTCCACTGCAGCATGTCTAATGGTTCTGCTGCAGATCTGATCAGCACCGGCCATATCAGAACCGACAGCGAGCCAGACCCAGAGCTATCACACACTCCTGGCCGTTAAAACTGTCTGCATAACCTGCAGCTGCTGCACAAGAAGCATGCAGGAGAGGCCTGAACATCAGAGACAAACAGGAATCAATGAGCCGCAGAGCAGCGAGGAGGCTGCAGCGAGGAGGCTGCAGCGAGGAGGCTGCAGCGAGGAGGCTGCAGCGAGAGGCTGCAGCGAGGAGGCTGCAGAGAGGAGGCTGCAGAGGAGGCTGCAGCGAGGAGGCTGCAGAGAGGAGGCTGCAGCGAGGAGGCTGCAGCGAGGAGGCTGCAGAGAGGAGGCTGCAGCGAGGAGGCTGCAGCGAGGAGGCTGCAGAGAGGAGGCTGCAGCGAGGAGGCTGCAGAGAGGAGCTGCAGCGAGGAGGCTGCAGCGAGGAGGCTGCAGGCGAGGACTGCAGAGAGGAGGCTGCAGCGAGGAGCTGCTGCAGGCGACGGACCGCGCTGCAGGCCCAGGCGGCTCCTCCGCATGGAGAGAGGAGCAGGATTTATGTCCACTGTCACAGAGGGAGATTTCACTCAGGAACGTATTTCCCTTTTCTTCCATTTTCTTGTTCAGCGGTGAAGACAAAGTGTAAAAATGTGACAAATATACAATATATATCTGAATTGGAGCAAACATTGCTGATAATATATTTAATCAGCAGAAACAAAAAAATCATTTCTTAATTTTAATTCAAATTCCAACAATGATTACTTTATTAACAGGTTGATTAACTGATTAGTTCGATTTATAAAAAGGCAAAGTGGATATTTTTCATTTAACCCTTTTTTTCCAATATTAGAAATACATTTAAAAATGTAAATAAACAATTCAGTCATTTTTTAAATAAGAAAATATTCCCCTTTCAGGTCTTCTCACTTTTTGCCAAGTTATTGCATTTTTTTGCCTAAAATTAATGTAAATTATGAGTTAATTGTGTTTCTTTTAACTTATTTGTTTTGGCACTCCATAGAAGAGATGTGATGAACAGGAATATTTCTGCTTTTATGGCTGCTGGTCCATAAACTAAAACAAATCAAAGTACAACTTTAAGAGATTCAACGAGAGTCCACAAAAAAAGGATTTTTAATTTCCTTTGCTGCCAAAATCGCTTTTCTCATTCAGAAAATATAATAAAGAAAATATTTAAAATATGTTCCCACCATTCATGCATTGAGTGATAATTATTTATTAATAATGCCAGAAATTCTCCAACTATTAGTGGCAGAATTTATGGCCATTTCCATTTGGGTTTTGTGTCTGTTAACATTCAAGGCTCAACTTGAAAGAAAAAAACAAAAGTGATAAAACTAATCTGAAAAACATTCAGCCTTCCTGTTAGTTGCTGAAAATCTTCTTCTCTCCCTCAACCTGACTGAAATGTTCAAACCATTTGTAATTTGCTTATTACATCTCCAAGCAACCCTGATATTTCAATCACCAGAAACAGCTTCCACACCGAAGAGTGTTGCAACCATAAACAGGAAAGTGATGAATTTGTATTAAACGATGCAGTAAAGGCTAATTGTTACCAGAAACCTTTTCAAATCGTAAAGTCAGGATTCTGATTTAATCTCTATATTTTCCACTTCATAAAAGTCAGAAACTTAAGGTCTTAAAGAACCATCGAGTCAGAATTGCTTTTCTCAGTAACCCTAATCTTCTTCCGTAGTTCAGGAGTCTAAAAAGAAGAGAGTTGTGGTGCGTTCAGGGTACTTCAGAAGTAACTGTTCAAATTGATTTCATTTTTTGCAGAATCTCAGACAAACATGTTTTAAGTTGTACTTTCCATCAAAACATCAGTTTGTTTTAGTTTAAGTTTGAGGCGTTATAAATGACATTGATTTCAGACACACTCTGACATGTTTGTCTTGTGAAATAACGCGAGAAGAAGCCATAATGAAACGCGTCGGCCTGACAGGTTCTAACTGGAGGTCATCGGAGCTGCTCCCGCATTCCCAGTGGAAAATCCGCCATCCATTCGCCTTTAACTGATTTTCCCATTTCCATTCCAACTGGAACACATCAAAATCTGCGTCAGTATCGGCACCGTGTCGGCAGGTGGCGGTAGTGAGCACTGAGGCGATTCTGAGCTGAAGGGGGAAAAACAACAAAAACAGCCAGCAGAAAAAGCACAGAACCAAGATGGCGGTGCAGGAGACAGCAGCCCAGCTGTCCATGCTCTGAGGTAAACACGGCACTCACCGGCACCCCTCTCTGGTTCGGGGAACTCCGGGTTCCCGGGGGGTTCGGTTCTGTTTTAAAGAGGTAGATTGGTGGTTAATTTGAGAGTGGCTAAGGTTAGCTAAGCTAGCATGGCCAGAACATCAGGCTGTGGGTTTAAAGGCAACAATCAGAACCGTTTACTCTTTTAAACGGGTTCGGTGCTGATCTGCTTGCTCGCGGTTCGGCTTGTTGGGACGGAATCCTCGAAAGGTCAAATTCTGGCCAGTTTTAGGCAAACTGGACCCACTGCGGGTTAGTTCGGTCCCGTTACCCGCAAAATCTGAGAGTTCTGTAGTAAAATGTGAAAAGTTCTGACTGGTGCCCGACCCGGTTCGGGTTGAACGGATGGGTTCGGATCACCAGTAGAGGCTGAAACATTATGGTTGCTCTTCCTTTCTGGAGCAGACGTGATTCGCCTGCTAAGGGTGAAAAGCAGCCGAACCGAACCCAGCAGCCGACCTGGTCCGTGGAGCTGGTTCGGGGTGGTTCTGGGCGGTTGGGGTTCGGGGAAGCGGTTCGGCGTGTTAGCGCAGTGT